CTCAAAAGTATCGGACTTCAAACTTTTGGGTTTTACTGACAGTGACTGGGCAGGTTGTTTGGATGATAGAAAAAGCACTTCCGGCTATGTTTTCTCCCTTGGTTCGGGTGCTATTTCATGGAGTTCAAAGAAGCAAGAGATCGTGGCCTTGTCATCATCAGAAGCGGAATATGTTGTTGCAACGACATCAGTTTGTCAAGCAATTTGGCTAAGGAGATTGTTAGCTGATTTTTGCCAAATTCAAGAAGGTGCAACTCAAGTGTTTTGTGACAACAAGGCAACAATCGCTATGGCGAAAAATCTAGCTTTCCATAGTAGAACAAAGCACATTGACATCCGCTATCATTTCATCCGAAATCTGGTCGCTGAAGGAACAATAGCAATGAAGCATTATGGGACCAATGAACAAGTAGCTTATGTTCTTACCAAGTCACTATCATGTGCCAGGCATGAGTACTTCAAACTATAGATGGGAGTAACAAGTTTTGAAGCAAGGGGGAGTGTTGAATAGTGTTTCAAACTTAGTGGGAACGTGGAATAGTGTTTCAAACTTAGTGGGAATGTTGAATAGTTAGTGGGAATGTTGAGTAGTGCTTCAAACTTAGTGGGAATGTTGAATACTTAGTRGRTTAGTTACTTCCTAATTGTTAGGCATTATTTTTGAGTTAGTGGACCATGTTTATCCACTTTCTAGTTTAATTGCTTATTTTTAGCTAAGCTTAGTTTTGCTGTAAGCCTATTTATTTGGACCCGAGACGTTGTTTTTTTGAAGATGAATAGAATTGGTTGTGTGGCTTTGTTTTTCAGCATATAATTTTAAGCCCCCAACATTAGTGTGGAGGCATCGTCGTTGATAAACCTGCCGGGGTTCAGGAAGAGCCCCATGGTACGACAGTTGAGGATAATGGACTCATCGTTCCCATTACGACCTAGCGAGGAAGACAGCCACGTCGACAAAGCAGCTTAGGAATTTATTGAAAGGTTTTATAAGGATCTAAGGCAGTAGAAGAGGATGGCTGCTCTCGAGGCAAGCTACCATGATACATGGTCGCCCTTGGGTTAAGATACCGGCACCGGTTGTTAGCCGGACTCCGGCTTTGTATGTAAGATAGACCTACAACCGGTGAGTTGAGATCTTCCAACTTGACGATTGCATCAGCGATATACCATCTGTCTCTCTTTCTCTCTTTTTCTCTTCTCCTCTTCATTTTTCTTCTTCTTCATCCCCTGCTTCCCTCCTCTATAGATCGTCTTCTCCTCCTCTGCACCATCTCACCAAATTTACACATTAACAACCAAACAAAGTAGGTGTAATTTTTCAAAATCAACCGATTTTAATTTCCACCAATCACTAAATCAATTCATTTTTTCCATAGTGTAAAATTTGAATTTACACCTCAAACAAATTTGGGAAAGATAACATCAATTATTGAAAAAGCAACCATGGAATTCACAGTTATCAAAAAGCAAACATAAGAGATTATTGGCTAATGGAAAATATATTCCGTTCATCATCAACTTTCCCTCCCCATTTATCAAAAAACAAATGGAACCTTTGGACATAATCATTAAGAATTCAAAAAAACTGTGGGGGTGGAATGGTAAATTTGGGAAAGTTTGACCAATCACCAATTCATAAAAATTAATAACTTCTCATTTGTTTGTTTGGGTACAAATTAAAGGGTAGTTTCAAATTCAATCTCTAACCTCCTAAAAACTCAAAATTATTGGGACCAATAACATTGGATGATAGTTTTTGTGGAAAAAATGAAATTAACGTAGGAGCTGTATTAGGAGTATGACCGTAGAAACATTGAAAGGTTCCGTACACTTGTGGAGCATTGGCACTGTGATTCCTCAGCTAGATTAAATAGGGGTACAAATGGGTCAAATCGAATTTGGTAGGGGTCTATCTGATTCGATTCAATAAAATTTTGTAGGGCTTCAAATTCGATATGAACCCATCATGCAGATTATACAAATCGTGATTCGAATTTAATCCATTCTTATCTTAACGGATACGCAAATTTGAATTTGATTCGGGCCGATAATTATCCTTAGTTGAGAAACTTCTAACATCTAAAGCCAGAAAGAAAAATTTGAGATAAAAAGAATAAAGGATGGTATCCTATTTTTTGTTGCTATCAACCTATCATTGTTCATTCGATCAGAAGAGAGAAAGTAAGAGAGGAGAAGACTTGCAGAGTTACAATGACAGCGACAATGGTAATGGCTGAGTGACAACGATAGTGATAGACTGAAAATGGAAGAAAAACATCCATTGAGATAAAATAGAACGAAAATGGAAGAGGAACATCCGAATAGGTGAATTATAATGAGTGAATTAGAGCTTTAGACCATATAAAAAACCTTTCAGCAGTCAACTGAAATCATAAACGTAGTACCTTATTTATCAAAATTTGGAGTATATTTAAATTTCGATCCAATTTGTAAGGAATAATGGTAGAATCCAACAGATTCAACTTATTTGCAGCCCTAAGAGCCATTTTACCTTGCACAACTTATGGTCGTGGTGTGGAGCACTTACACAAAGGTACGTATGAAATGGCCGATCAAATCACCCCTACACCTGACACAGCTCCAGATTGAAAGTCAGCCGGCATACAGTTAACTCTCGCAAAAATCTACTTATCAATATAATCCCTGCTCGAATATGACACTACGATCGATCCAATCAAAATATGGGAGATGTTTGGTTCTATTGTTGTTGTTGTTTTATTTTGCAAGTTTTGAGAAAACGTTTATGTATTGTGCTATTTCTTAGAAAATGGGGCCATGTAAGAGTCACACCAGCCATTATATAAGAAAATGCTTTGAGAAAATAAAAAATAACGTTTTGTAAGAGCCACTAACCACAAAACATGTGTATTAGACAATATATACTGATGTTTTACTTCTCCAAAACCCAGATCGAAAAAAACCAAATTGAGCTCAGCGACCCCCAGTGAATGGCAGTCTGTTTTTGTAATTTTACAGTTAGCAACTTAGCACATATATTAGGAGAATTTCGGCGGGAAAAGTCGCGCCTGCAACTTGAGTCTGTCGGCAATGCAGTATAGTCGAGGTAAGCAAATCCCTAATTGACGACTGACGTCTTGAGTTTTCTAGTTTTTACTACTCTCCGTAACTCAATTCCCATAATATAATACAATAATAGAGGGGGAGAGATTATGATACTGTACATCATACTTATTTGTCAGTAAGTTTACTTTGTACACCTATTCTAGGATTGGAATATTCCTGTCGAAATACATACTTCGATTTCTACATCCCCACTCTTTGTAGTGGAACACTACCCATACACAAAGACCTGCGAGTTGCGACGCAAGAAGCTGCCAATATTGAAGTTTGGGTCAATCCCGCTGATCAATCACCACAGTTGACCATCAATGAGCGGTCAAGATTGCCAGTGTCAACCAGATTTTGAGTGGAAGGCTCAAGCATGCAACGATTGGCCCACCAAACGAAGGGTGCATTTATGATCGTCAGTTGCCAGTTGTAAACGCAGTGGAAGGAAGCAAGTAAGGAAATGAGGCAACTGCGAGAAACTTTGGCACGGAATTCTAAACACGAGGAAGAGACAAAAGCGATTGGGGAATCCAAACATACAAAGCCAAGTTCTGTCTCCCGAGACCCTCCCCGGCTCCCCCACCCCACTACTTAACTGTGTGAGCTTCCAATCTAATTTGATGAAACCACCTTCACATAATCGTCTGATCCTGTGATCCGCATAGCATGTCGATCTGACGGTTGTTAGTCTTTGGGAAATGGTTATCCAATAAGTCCTACTTCATGCTATCACGACTCCATAAGATAAGATTTAAAAGAAAAAAAAAAAAAAACCTAGAAGCCGCGTCGGTGCTGAAATTTTATACTATATATCCGGAGAAAGAAAGAAAAATATGTGTTAAGATCCAAGGAAGACGGTCTCACGTGTATGTATACATGAGGAAGTTCATGGGAATGTACATTTATATGCTTATAAAAAGAGTGAGATCAGAAATCAGAGTGCAGAGTCTCTCATCTCAGGCCTCAGCCACTGAGTTTTGTTATTTTGCACGATGCACATGGCCTGCTTGCTTTAAAAATTCTGTTAATCGCCATTAACGCTAAGTGCTTTTTTTCATTAGTTATGATTATAGTTATGTTTTAGTTTTATAAATGATGTTTATGATGGACAGATGCCCCCACATACATAGCATTCCTCTTTCAAGCGATGTTGATCTTGAAAGTTGAGCTTTTTCTCATTGTTGGGAGTTGGAACCAGAATTGACAGTGTTGTTTACTTAGTATTCCTCTTGATTAATAAATAACGAGTAAAGACTAAAGAGTTTTTCATCATACTCATCGTACTAACAACTTTTTAAATTTAATAAAAATTTCCCTTTTTGATTCGAGTGATCATCGCAATACGTGTTTGGTTTTTTGCTTTGTTACTTCTATCGGATTGTATTGCGGAACAAATGAACAACAAAATAGTAATCTATCATTCCATTGGGCGTCCACCGATGAGTGGCCGGCACAAATTTTCACCAACTGCTTCGTTTTAGGGCTGCAAATGGGCCATTTTTTTTTATTCCACCACTTTGTCATATTGAAAACTCATAATAGTAATCTATCATTCCACCATTTTTGAACTTTTACTCTTTCTTTTTAATAAGTTTAGGAGTGTTTAAAAACAAGTGATTATTTAAATAAATACTTTCTTTTGGGTCAGGAATCAAGATTAGTGTTTGATAAATAAGTCACGAAGACCAAATTATCTATACTTCCCTGTTTGAGATAAATTCTTTTATACCAAATGCTTATGGATAGTTATTAGAATAAACCCTTTTTTTAAGCACTTATTTAATGAAAACCTATTTTTCAAATGAACACTCCCAAACTCCACTTAGTACGCCAGTAAAGAAGTAAAGTTTTTTTTGGTAACTTGATAAAAGCTTGGTAAATCCAAATCGTATGTAATACCCAAAAATAAAACTGTTGAACTCGTCGCTCACTCCGTTCGAAGCCTTGGGAGTGGAGAGAAGGCCGGAGAGTTCTCCTCTTCTTTACAACACTGACAGCTCACACTCTCTCTCTCTCTCTCTCTCTCTCTCTCTCTCTTCCGAGTACAAAAGGCTCCTGTGGATCAGAGATCGAATACTTCAGGCTTACCGACTTCTTCATTCATTACCTCTGAACAAACAGAGGCACACTGAGGACAGGCACAGAGAGAAGGGGGGACTCCCATATTTTATTTTTCTTTGTTTGTTGTTTTCTTCTCCCGCCCTTCTCATCGGTAACCCTTTTAATGGCGCCGTAGCAGCTAGAGACTCTCTTTTGTATAGATCTCCCCATTTATTTCAACCCCATTTAACCATTTATTATAGAGGCGAAGGTCTGGTAGAGAGAACAGGAGGACGTGATGGGGGACAACAGGTTTCTCTGTTCTCTCCTGCTCTTCCTTTTTCTTCTTTCTTGCGTCAATGCCGAAGACCCTTACAGATTCTTTACATGGAAAGTTACTTACGGCGATATTTATCCTCTCGGAGTAAAACAACGGGTACTCACTCATCTTTCATCTCTTCCCCCTCATTTTACTCTTTAAATTTCAACTTTTTATTACATATTTTCAGAGTGTTTGGGCTAATTCTGGTTAACGTTGCAGGGTATATTGATAAATGGCCAGTTTCCAGGTCCTCAGATCGACTGCGTTACTAATGATAACTTGATTGTCAGTGTTTATAACTACTTGGACGAACCATTCCTCATCTCATGGTACATAAGCCGACTTCCTCTGTTCTTGTTGTTGTTGTTTCGTTTGATTTTTTAGTATTTTCTGTAGTACTAAATTCCCTTCTTTTTTTTCCTTCCTTCTGCATTTGCTCTCTTTTTATAGTTAGAAAACAGTTAACAAAGATCTAGGATTATAACAGTTTCTGAGTATTGCTTTGAATAACCAAGTTCTACCGATAATTTTCCTGATAAAACATTCATTGATGCCCGGTAGCATTGGCGATAAGGGGAGAAAAAGGGTATAGACTCACTGGGAGTCTAGAAGTGGAAGAATAGAAGAGTAATTCTCTGAGAAGCAGTAGCAATAGGGTTATTTTGGTAATTCAGATTGGGGACATCACTGGGAGGATACCATCTGTATACTTAAACTTTTTTACTTTTCTACAGAGAAAAAGGCGGGAATCTCTTTGCTGTCAGGGATTGGGTTAGATTGGTTGTTCTAACTTTGGGGGTCCATCAATCAATAACAACTATATTCCAAAAAACGTTTTTACTTTTTACTTTACTGTAGAGGGACACTGATTTGCTATATTAGTGACTCACCGTATTAAAAATTTAAAATGATGGTTATCGCTGATTGAAATACCAACGATATTGCCAATGGACAATATTGTTGACCACCAATTTACTGTGTAGATCTGGGATCTGAAACCAGCTGGGCTACTGAATTTATATACCATGTTAATTAGATGGACCTACCCCACCTTGGAGGTTGATGACCCGATGGTGCCTCGCTTATTTATGGATCACGTGTGAAGAAAGACAAGATATGCTTTTCCATTCTTTGTTTTGTTGTAGAAAAATTAATTTAAGTCAATTCTGTGCTTGGCCTCAAAATTCAATCCCAATTTAGTTGGTGTTTCTTTGGTATAACATTCAGTTATGATTTTGTATCACAGTTGCTGAGAAGAGGTTGTGTGGTTGTCTTATTTGTTTGTGAGAAGTAAAATGAATTGGCTACCACTTCAACTGAATGAGAATGGAGGTGGGAGGGTTATCTGTGTAGGATGCAAGATGATGTGGTCCCCACTTTGTATGGAAGAATTTATGTAGGAAGAAGGTGGTGCAAATTTTGCATCAGTTTATGGATGTGATATTTACACTGCAGATGACTGCAAACAAGACAAAGTACAAATTTTGTATTAAGTGGAAATGAAAATTATAATTGCAAACAAGAAAAAGGCAAAACTGAGCCCGGTACAAATTTTGCGCCCAGTCAAGGCTTGCACTGCAACCAAATGCAGCCCAAGGAACACCACAGAAGAGTTGCTCTGTTCCAGAGAAAGACGAAACACAAACTCAACCACAGACAGAACACGTTGTAAATTGTTGACCTACCTGATTGAACTTGTGAGTACAGTTGTCACAATTGGGCAAACAGAACGTATTCTAAACCGGTTTCTCAGTTTCAAGTTGAGGAAGAAGGTTTTGGGGTCCCATCCGTCTGATTGAATTGGACGGATTCACTTTGACTGGGTTGACCTCACATACGTTTTTCCTATCAAAGAGGAATGTTAGCAAAGCACATGCAATACGCTACATACACGTTGAGGCCTAGAGAAGACATTGTCTTTTATTTCTCTTTTGGTGGGCCTTGCAGATCTGTTCTGCACTGCATACAGCTGAATGTCTTCTACTACTAACATTGCCTTTTTATATATTGAGGAATTTGTTCATTTATTTCCTAACATTGAATTCACCTATTCTGTGATTATGTATTGGTTATCCATAGAAGATAGAAGAAATTGATATATTTATCCCAACAGAATTTAACAGTTGATTCAAATTGACCAGGAATGGCATACAGCAGAGAAGGAACTCCTGGCAGGATGGTGTCTATGGCACCAATTGTCCCATTCCCCCTGGCAAAAACTTCACTTATGTTCTTCAAGTGAAGGATCAGATTGGCAGCTTCTTCTACTTCCCTTCTCTTGGATTCCACAAGGCTGCAGGAGGGTTTGGTGGCATCAAGATCAACAGCCGTCCAATGATTCCTGTCCCTTTCCCTCCTCCTGCTGGGGATTTCACAGTATTGGCTGGTGATTGGTTCAAGAATGACCACGCTGTAAGTAGTTTGGATGATTTCAAATAGTATGCTAAATTGCCTATTTTAAATTAAACTTCAGGTTAAGTACTGATACCCTGTATTGTATTTCCATGTTAGTTGTTTCTTGTGTGTAATTGGCTAAATAAGTGCTGTGGAAATATATGGCTCTATATGGACCAACTATATCTTATTCTTGCCTCTGTATTACAACCATGAACATGTCTGTCTCATGACTCTGAAGATTTAGCTGATTAGGTAGCTCCAGCAATCCATTTCGTTGCCTTAGTTTTAGACTGGTGAAACAAAAGCATAGCAAATAGTTCAAAAAGAGTTGCAAAAATGCGTCATTTTATGCAGATGCAAAAGCTAGTCATTTGATGCCAAAGATATTTCAACTCTTTCTTGTTTCTTTTTTTTCCCTGAATTTTGCATTTTGTCTCTCTAAATATCATATTGGCTTATTTGGGTTTACAGGCTTTGAGAGCAATCTTAGACGGTGGTCACAACCTTCCATTCCCCGATGGACTTCTCATCAATGGCCGTGCCTGGAATGGTTATACATTCACAGTGGATCAAGGTAAACATCACTACATCAGGATCATCCTTTTCATGTCATAGCTGCAATTTCGCTATATGCCTTTATTTTGGTTTTACCATCTACTTGATAATCTTACTGTACAGGTAAAACATATAGGTTCCGGATATCGAATGTGGGTCTCACGACGTCTATCAACTTCAGAATTGCGGGTCATAAGATGAAATTGGTGGAGGTAGAAGGATCACACACACTCCAGAACACCTATTCTTCTCTTGATATCCATCTGGGACAGTCCTACTCTGTGTTGGTTACTGCTGATCAGCCTGCACAGGATTATTACATTGCTGTTTCCACCCGCTTTACATCCCCAGTCCTCACTACTACAGCCATTCTTCACTACAGTAACTCTTATGTACGGGTGTCTGGTCCTCCACCTGGTGGTCCTACCATTCAGATTGACTGGTCACTCAATCAGGCTAGATCTATCCGGTAATTTCCCAAATTTCATTAAGAAAGTCAATACATTCTACCATGTCAGGAACTCTCATTTAACTCTTGTGCTCTCCCATACCAGTTGGAATCTGACAGCAAGTGGTCCAAGACCTAATCCCCAAGGCTCTTACCACTATGGGTTGATCAACACCTCCCGCACAATCAGGCTTGCCAACAATGCACCTGTCATCAATGGTAAGCAAAGATATGCCGTCAACAGTGTGTCCTTCGTTCCTGCGGACACACCACTGAAAGTTGCTGACTACTACAAGATCCCCGGTGTCTTCTACCTTGGAAGCATACCAGATCATCCTACTGGTGGTGGTGGTTACCTCCAGACTTCTGTCATGCCTGCTGATTTCCGTACTTATGTTGAGATTGTGTTTGAGAATTGGGAAGATACTGTGCAGTCATGGCATATAGATGGCTATTCCTTCTTTGTTGTCGGGTATGATTGTCTACGAAGATTGTAGTTTTGTCTCCTAGTTCTTCTGCTCATGATTTCTGAAACTAGGATGTTTGTGGGATGAGCAGGATGGATGGAGGATCATGGTCGCCTGCAAGCAGAAACGGTTACAATTTGAGAGACACAGTTGCTCGTTGTACCACTCAGGTAAAAAATAGAAACCTAACAAGTCATTGGAATATGCATATATACATGTAACCTGTGTAACCATCCTCTATAGATTTCTTGCTGATTCCTCAAACCACCCTGGTAAATAGGGTGTTTACGATATGGTTTGGTGCAGTTTGGAGAAGATCTCAGACCAAACCAGCAAGTTATGGTTTGAGAAACTCCTAAATCGAACCAAACTGTTTTGGAATGGAAACCAAACCAGACCAAATATGGTTTGGAGACTTTGGACCATTTTATGATTCTATTAGGCTTAACCCAATTAGAAAGCCCAAATAGCACCCCCAAAAATTAAAACTTAAAACTTTTATTTCATTATTTTATTAAAGAGAGTTTATTATATATTTATAATTTTATGCATTTGATTTAGATATTATATATATATATATATACTTTTTTTTGAAGGCAATATATACTATTTTTGCATCATATATTTATACATTTATATAATAATAATAATAAATAATTTTGATTTATTGTTTACGGTTTGGTTCAGTGTATAAAATCAAATCTTAACTGTAAATCACAATAGCAAAATATCAAACTGAACCAAATTGTTTTTAGGTGCCAGGCCGAATCAAATCACAAATTTGATTTGGTTCGGTTTGATTTTGCAGTTTGAGTCGTACAGTGAACACCCCTGTTGGTAGAAAAGTTTCAGTTGCATGGATTTATATAGCTTAGAGAAATACGGAGGATGAAAGGAAGCATTGAGGTTCTGGTGTGATAGTGTAATATGCACTATTACACTATTCTATGAAGGTTATTGGCTTCTTAGAACTCCTGCTTGTTAGATGGGTAAAGCCATAGAAGGTTGCTGGGACATATCTTACAATGTTCTGTTTGACTGAATGCAGGTGTACCCCAAGTCATGGACTGCAATTTACATGGCATTGGACAACGTCGGAATGTGGAACATCAGATCCGAGAACTGGGCCAGACAGTACTTGGGTCAGCAATTTTATCTTCGCGTTTACTCTCCTGCAAATTCATGGAGAGATGAGTACCCTATCCCAAAGAATGCTCTTTTATGTGGTCGGGCTTCAGGACGCCGAACTCGGCCTCTCTGAATCGGCTGGACCCAGATTCCGTCACGAGAGGGTGACTGGTTCTTGGACGTTCAATATTAGGAAACGGGTCTATACAGTAAGATGTTAGTAGGGCTCAGCTCGAGCATGGATATTTTATTTTATGTTTCTTTCTTTTCCATTATTTCTTGTGGTGTTTCCGGTTATTGGTCTCTAGATAGTTAGTGGACATTATTTTTCATGGTTTGTTCTACCACCAGATTTAGTGGTGATAAATGCAATTCATGAGAGGATTTCAAGCTTCTACTACATCTAGACTCTCGTAGGTCTGAAACAATTTTTTGTCTAGCTTGAAAAAATTGTGAGTATCCACGAGTCTATTCTGGGGGAAATCCTCAACCCCCTTCAGAGCACCCGAGGGAAAAACAGGGCACATTATGAGGATTTCTTCTGAGGCAAAACTGAGCAACATGGAGCACGGTTATTTATCGGGTTGCAGGTTATCTCGATTTTTTCTGCCATGGACTGATATTTCAATATAAAAAGAATGAGATTCATGATAAGAATTTTATATCCAAGTGCTATAATGTTACTCAATTTTGCTCAAAGTAAGAATTCTGTGGTACTGAACCAAACACGGCCAAGGGTGCTAATACAAAACTTTAGAGGGAAGAAAGTGATGTAATACGGGATTCGGCCCAACGGAGTAAATAATTAAGTTGGTTTTGACAACCCATCTTAGTTCGTTATTACCAAGGTAGCGTTATTATAGAATTTCTATCGTAGTTCATATTTATCAAATTAGTGTCATAGTGTGATTTTCGAATTTGTATTCAATTAGGGTGTTTTTGAAGAGTTTTAGTAGGATTCTTAGAAAGAGTGTTCAAAATTGATTAGGAAGCTTCCTTTTATGAGGCATAAGAGTGTAAAGGAGTCTATATAAAGAGTAGTTAGGGTAAAGCTAGGGGAGTTTTATGTTGATTTTCTTTTAAGTACTCAATGAAGAGTTGTTTTTATTTATTTTGGCTTTAGTTCTTTTCTTTGAATATTCTCCGAATGTGATTTATTTCCGTATTGCCCCAGTTGGTATTGGAGTACAAATTTGATCATTTTTTGGATGATGGCTCCTAAGAAGAAACAAGTGGCTCACATCATAAAGCATAAAATTAACGATAAAACACAAAAAGAGGTGTCACTCCAAAACAAGGAATAATAGCTCCAATGCAAGTGCCTCCACTCAATTCTTTTCATTATCAAGGCAAGCATTCAGGTTTGCTATAGTTGTGGGTGGTGGTCAGAAACAATGGGAAATGGGTTTCAATATTGAGATCCTAAAGTTTCATTAAGGTTTTTCTACTTGGTAAGCAATCAAGCTGGTTATAATTGCAAGTAGTAAATAGAAGCGATGGGAAATAGATCTCAACTTTGTGTTCTTGGAGTTTAATGGAGGTATAACATCAAATGAATTCATAGACTAGAGTTCCATGGAGGAGTTAGCAATTTCAGAGCCTGGAGGTAAAATCATATCTTATGACTTTGTTGAGTGCATTAATATTGTTGATGATTGTAATAAAAATCTTGTGTGGCCATTCTCCTCAACAATATCTATTGAAGAACAACATGTTGATTGGACCAAACCTCCAATCTATGATGAATAACCCATTGCTCAGAAGGAGTATGTTATCCTTCATAATAAATTTCAAAATGATAGAGATAATACCTATCATCTTGGGGATTATGATCACATTGTCTTCATACAAGTCAATGAAGATCCATATTGGTAAGAAATTTTGCAATGTTCAGAAATGTCACTAAAGGAAGAACCATCTTATGTGTAGTGAAGGAAATATATTTCAAAATATAAGATATATAGTGAAGATATTCTAATTCATATTGGAGAATTGCACCACCAGTTATTTGTTAGAGGGTCAAAAACAAAGAACCGTAGCGAAAGTGTAACAATATATATTGGTGCCTCTTAGATGGTAACTTAAATCCGAAGTCGAATTCTCTCCAATTCGAGGAAGATGATGCAGTACGGGATTTGGCCCAACGGCGCAAACAATTACTAAGTTGTCTCAACATCCCATCTTAATTCGTTTTTATCAAGATAGTGTTATCGCAGAATTTCTATCTTAGTTCGTATTTACCAAGTTAACTTCACAACGTGATTTCTAAATTTGTATTCAATTAGGACTTTCTTTTTGAAGAGTTTTTAGTAGGAATTTTAGAAATAGTGTTCAAAATTGATTAGGAAACTTCCTTGTAGGAGAAATAAAGGTGTAAAAAAATCTATATAAAGAGTAGGTAAGGTAAATCTAGGGGAGTTTTATGTTGATTTTCTTTTAATTATTCAGTGAAGAGTTGTTCTTCCTGTTTATTTTAGCTTTAGTTCTTTTCTTTGAAGCTTCTCCAAATGTGGTTTGTTTCTGTACTGTGCTAGAAATCCAAGTGGTTTGGTTTTTGGCATCCCTCCCTTTCATCCTTAAGGAGTCAAGGACAAATAGAAAAATGGATAAACCGATTGATTGATCATTCATTTAACTAGTAAAATTAATTATCTTTTCAACAAAAATTCTTTACGTTGGAGGGAAGGTAGATGCGAAAAATCTTTCCTGCACTACATTTTATCAAAGAGTGCATGCCAATTCTATGAAAATAAAATTGGTTGGCAAAATGAACTTATGTAAAGATAAGCCATGAACAACTTCTCTTTATTCACCTTATCTAGTTTATACAACTTCCTTGTTGTCTTATGTCAAGACTAGCATACATCTTTGTTAGAGGAAATACACTTTGGATATTCTTCAGGATGTTGGCATGATCAGGTGCAAGCCCCATCCATTTCCAATGCTACAACAACAACACCTTGCTTTAGCTACTAGGCCGTTGCTCTAAGATGTAGTCCAGTACAAAAGACTTGTTGGACGTCTAATTTATTTGCAAGTTACAAGGCCTATCATAGAATTTACTATTAACGTGCTCACACAATTCATGAGTGCACCTCGACAAGAACATTGTGATGCTGCATTTCACATCCTTAGATATTTGAAGGATACAATTTCATATGGCATATTCTTATTTGCATCAAGTGAATTAACACTCAAAGTTTATTGTGATTCAGATTGGTCCAGTTGCCTAATAACTCGACATTCAACCACCGGCTATATCACAATGTTGGATAGTTCTCACCTATCCTAGAAGCCCAAGAAGTAGAATACTGTCTCAAGGACTTCAACAAATACGGAGTATCTCGCCATGGTCGTTGTAACAAAGAACTTCTTTGGTTGAAACGCCTCTTTCTTGACATTGGGCTTTCTCATGCTCAACCCATGCAACTGTACTGTAATAACAAAGCCACCTTGCATATAGCGGCCAATTTGATCTTCCATGAAAGGACCAAGCACATCAAAATAGATTGCCATTTTGTGTGAAATCTAATACAGTTTTGGACAATCATCACTTATCATGTATCTTCGAAGCTTTAGTCAGTTGATATTTTTACCAAGGCCCTTGGTCATGATCAGTTTCACTCATTATTCAAGTTGGGAATGTTCTCTCCAACACCTAGTTCATGTCCAACTTGAGGCAGAGTCTTAATTGTCTAACAAAATCTATTACAAAGTTACATGTGGGCTATGAGTTTGTTAGAATTAGTTAGAACCTGTCAAGATGTATAGACGGTTGCTTATATGTGTAATCTTGTATATAAATATTTAATATGAATCTCATGTGAAGAGACAATTTTTCTTTATTCACAAATACTTTGTTTCTATACCTTTTTGCATTTGGAGAATTGTAAGCAAAAACCACAATGTATAACAATTTTCATACCCTATCAAAACTAGCTGTATATGTATGTATTTATACTGATTTTTTGGTTGAATAGAAAAAAAAAACAAAAAAAAAACAAAAGAAGGGAATTATTCATTGAGGGTGATGGGTGGAACTAATAATTCTCAAGTAGTCTGATTTGGATTTTCTTTTCACATAAAATTTTCAATTGATTTATGTGGGTTATAACACAAATAGTACAAAATATATAAAGGTTGATAATTCTACTTCTCACATAGAATTCTCAATTACATCTAGCTGATTATATGATAATTTCAGAGGAGGGATGAGGAGAAAGAGATAAAGATTGATACTGAGAAGTTGAGAAAAGATGTTGGGGATGAATGCAGCCTTTACAAATTGGAAAACCCAACTCAGTGTAAGAGTGTACATGGGAGAAGCTGATAGTAGATTAGTTTTAGGGTTAATTACTTAAAGAAATCATGAGCTTTCTGAGGGATAAAAGCATTCTTTATAGATTGGAAAACCCATGTTAAAGTAAGATTATACAAGGTAGGGCTGTCAATGAACTGGTTATTGGACAACCTAGTCCTATATGAGTCCATTACAATGGACCAGGTCCAATCCAATTCAATATATACTTTGAACCATTAATTCATGATTGATCTAGTTTAATATGTCCTGTTGGTCCGTCCAATTTGTTCAAATTGGTTTTGATTTCGGACAAAAACCAATCCAAACCTAATCCATTGATACCCCTAATACAGGGGAGAAGCTGATGGAAAATTATTTTTAAGGTTAATTACTTAAAATACCGTTGAGGATTCGAAGGTATGAATGCATTCTTCATAGATTGGAAAACCCATATCAGAGTCAGAGTAAGAGTGTACAGGGGAGAGATTGAGGAGGATGTCATTTATAGAATTAGAACATGATGGTCGAAATAGAGGGATGCATTTAGTCTTTTGGAGCAAAGTGTTAGGTGGTTAGAAACAAATGTCCCAATAATGAATGTGGCATAAAATGTATATGCTAAGATAGATGAATGGCAAACTACGAAATATAGGGTTAGAAATGAAGCCCAAAGAAAGGACTTTGATAGCTTCAATAAATAATAATATGAGAGAAAATAGACTAAGATGGTGTATTTATATGTACAAAAGACATCTAATAACTCTTCAAAGAAGTGATATATTACACGTTAAAGGGGTTGAAAGGGCTAGGGCGTAGACCAAAAAGGACATGGACCTATGTAGTAAGTAATAATGTTTTAACAATGGACATGGCATTAAATAGCAAGGTTTTAAAAACCGATCTAAAAATGGAACCATTCTAGCTACCGGTTATCCGGGTCAGTGGTTCGACCATCCGTGTAGAATGGTTGGGACAAATTGCATATTAGGGCAAATATTTTATATGAAATTTGAGAAAGGAGAACTAGAGAAGAGATGTTGTTGGTTGAGAAAGAAAAAAAGAAAGAAGAAAAGAAAGAAAGAAAGGGAGGAAGGAGGAAG